CCTCCGCCCCTGCCTGCCGCATCTCTTGATGGTTACTGTGGCCAGTGAAGGAGCCACATGTAAGGAAGGAATATAATCCCCTTTATCTCAAAATTACACTATGCAATAGGGCAAAATCAATTTTTTTTGGTGTATATATATATATATATATATATATATATATATATATATAGGGGCGGAGCTAGAATGCAAGATACGGGTTCGGCTGAACCTGATAGCTTTGGTCCAAACTCTATATTCATCTTAAAAAATTCATCGTATATGGATAGTGATTAACTTCAGAACCCAGTGACTTAAACGGACTAGAATCCGGAATCTATAAACTTCAAATCCTAGCTCCGACTCTGATAAATATATAAATCATCAAATAGGAGATAAATGTACCATTTTGGTGATCATAATATAATTGTTCTATTGGTTTGCTTTTTGCAGGAGTTGCAATTGACCAAGGTATAGCCTATGTGCTAATGCTGGTTGCTTTGGCAATTACCTACATTATTCACTGAGCAATGTGTATAGCCTCCGTTGCATTTTTTTTTTTTTTTTAAATTTTCTTTTGGTTGTGACGGATAATGGTAGGCATGATTTGATCATGTATTTCATACTCTTGTATTCTTTTGGAGGTTGAAATTTGCTATTTCTTTCATTCAATGATTAGATTGTAGAAATTCTTTAAATCTTCCTTCTACTTTCCATTATGTATGGTATTTGTCTTTTCCATATTAACAACAGCTATATCTCAGTCGCAAACAAGTTAGAGTTGGCTATATGACATCTACTTTTAGTGTGTTCGATAGTTGGAGACACACCAACTCGGGCAGCTACAACAACAACAACATACCCAGTGAAATCCCACAAGTAGGGTCCAAAAAAAGTAATATGTAGGCGGATCTTTTCCCTAACATTGTGAAGATAAAAAAGATGTTTCCAGGAAACCTTCAGCTCAAACTCGGGCAGCCAAGTGCCTAGCAAAAAATATTACTACAGACAGAAGAATACCAAAGATATTTCTTGCCTCTGGGCATGACCAGCTAATATTTTACCTACAAAAAATGCTACCAAAGTTTTACCTTCAAAAAAAATCATGTTAAACGTAGTATTCATACTGGAAAATGGAAATTATGATCATCACCACCTATTTCAGAGATTTCTAGCAAAATCTTTTTCAAATAGGTAAAAGTCTTTCTCCCTCTCTAACCATGCTTTTAAAAAAGCGACACTTCACCCCTTTCAAATGCAGAAATTCAAAATTCATAACAAATAAGTGAATTAGACAGGATTTTTTTTTAAGAAATCAGAATAAGTGGTGGATCGGGTGGATGAGTTTTTTCAATTTTCATCGTAAATGTGATATACTTGTACAAATAGAAATGTGGGGAGTCTAGAATTTTAATAAAATATTTTGGATTTTAAAGAAAAAATGCGAGGGAGTAAAAGATGAAAACTACCAATGCGGGAGAGTCTAGAAATTATGCTAGTCCTTTTTATTGGGATTTGAGAGTATGCTCCTAGTCTTATTACAATCATTGTTGATTGCCTGATTCAATTCAATAAAACGTTTGTTTTGAGTTTAAAAAAATTAATATTAAACAACACATTTTGTGGTAACAAACACGGCATTTCATAAATATCCTCTTTAGCAGATATAGCATCACTGAGGAAAATTCAAGATAAAAGAGAAAATTGTATGAACATAAGATTTTAATGAGCATGGACCACAAAATACAATGACACAGCATCCAGGGGCAGACCTAGTTAATAAGTTAGTGGTTCACGTAAATAGGGTAACTTCAGTAATTTGTCCGTATCCTATATAAAGTTTTAAGAAATTTCCTAAATATTTATAAATATTTGACTATGTTGTATATCAATTTGAGGTCAGAACCCATAAACTTCAAATCTTGAATACGCCTATGACATCACCACTCGGGAAAATTAAAAAATAAAGATAATGACAGAGTAAGCATAAATATTTTTATTAGCATGGACCACAAACTGCAATTGCAAATATCTATTTTCTGCAACACCTCTATGTACAATATGGTCCAAAGCAGATATCAAATATATATATGTGAAAGCAACAGCAGTAGTCTCTTAATCTTTGAAACAGTGTTGCTTACTTTTCACCAATCAGTAACTAACCATAGAAAGTAACTCCAAATTCTCACCAACTGATAAGCTATAGTTTACCACAGCTAAAACAATAGAAGATGGTCTAATCTTAAAGAGCCATCTCTGCTTGTAAAGCAGCAAGTTCATTGTCTTCAGCAGCGCGATTTTGAGGGATCGCGCGAGCAGGTTGCTTCCTTGCTGCGACATCCACTGTCGCAGCAGGGGTTGCAGTTGCTGGTTGAAGCAACTGCTCTTCCAATTCAGCACTTTCCAATTCTTCAAGTTCTGCTTCCAATTCATCCTACAAGGACAAAATGATAAACTAATTAGTTTTACGCTAGCTGTTAGCCTGCCGCAACCCTCCTTTATTCAGGTTTGGGACCGGTAAATTGAGCAAAATTACAGATAAAGATGAACTTAAATGGAGCGACAAAGATGAGTTTAAATAAAGTGCAGAATATATAATGTCCATCAATGAATACAAATAGAGGACTCATCATAAATTAGCTAGTTTCATACTAGCTGTCAGCCTATTGCAACCCTCCTTTATTTTGGCTTGGGACATGCAAATTTGAGCAAAATCACAGGACAAAGATGAGCTTACATGAAGCGACAAAGATGAGCTTATATCCTTCTTTATTTGGGCTTGTATAAATGATACATTCTTTTTATATTTATTTTCTAATATCGGTTTAAATGGAGAGATTTAGACCGTATTCGTATAGCAGACCTTAACTTACTTGAAATTGAGGACTAGTTATTTTATTATAAAGAATACAAATGAAGACTGGAGGGGATAATAATTATCAGAGATAGGCATGGAACCTCATCAAAGTCAGCTGCTGAACCAATAGGAGTGGTCAAAGCCTCCTGTATTTGCTTTATGTTCTCAGTTTGTTCATTTATTTCGTTCATTGTCTTGTCCACATCATCAATTTTCCTGTAAAACAGATGTATTTTAGGCGCTACAAGTTTATTAACATACTTACCACAGTTAAAAAGAGCAAATAACCTTCCAAGAAAGCTTAACCAATCGCACTCTAACATGTTATATGTATAAAAAAGGACAATTCAGTGCACAGGACATCTCGCGTTCACACAGAGTCAGGAGAAGGACCACACCCCTTAGTGGCTGCTTCCACTGTTCGAACCCGTGACCTATAGGTTACATGAAGATAACTTTATTGTTGCTCCAAAGCAAGCATTAGAGGCAACTTGATGCATGTTATATGTATAAAAAAGGACAATCCAGTGCACAAGCCATTTCGCGTTCACAGAGTTCGGAGAAGGATCGCAGGCTACTGCTTAAACCCAAGACCTATAGGTTATACGAAGATAACTTCACTGTTGCTCCAAGGCAATCATTAGTGGCAACTTGATACATGTTATATGTATAAAAAAAAGGGCAGTCCGGTGCACAAGGTATCTCGCGTTCACGCAGGGTGTGGAGAAGGACCACACGTCCACACCTCTTAAGGGGCGCGGTGTAGACAACCTACCCTAACGCAAGCATTAATGGTTGCTTTTATGGTTTGAACCCGTGACCTATAGGTTACACGAAGATAACTTTACTGTTACTCCAAAGCAAGCATTAGTGGCAACTTGATGCATGTTATATGAATAAAAAAGGCAGCCTGGTGCACAAGGCATCTCGCGTTCACACAAAGTTCGGAGAAGGACCGCACCCCTTAAAGAATGTAATGTAGACATCCTACCCTAAGACAAGCATTAGTGGTTGCTTCCACGGCTCGAATTTGTGACCCATAGGTTACACGCAGATAACTTTACTGTTGCTCCAGGGCAATCATTAGTGGCAACTTGATGCATGTTATATGTATAAAAAAGTACAGCCCGGTGCACAAGACATCTCGCGTTCACATAGAGTCTGGAGAAGAATCACACTCTTAGATAACCTAACCTAATGCAAGTATTAGTGACTGCTTACACGACTCGAACCCGTGATTTATAGGTTACACAGAAATAACTTTATTATTGCTCCAAGACAAACATTAGTGGCAAACTTGATACATGTTATATATGTCAAGTATTGGAAAACAACAAACAGTAAAAAGGAAATAAAGTCAGTTTTTTCACTTACATTACTTTTTGCATTGCTTTCACTGTAGCTGCTGAGATTCTCAAAGCATCAAGAGTTTCAGTTGTAGCTTTAGCACTTTCTAATATTATCATCTGCACATTGAAAATTTGACATGTAATTTATTTATGACAAATTTAATTTTAAGTAGCACCACACAAAAAGGCCGGTAATGAACGAGCAACCTGATCATGAATGCGAAGTTGGGAACTGCCAAGCCTTTCAATTTCATGTTCATAAAGCTTCTTCCTTTTCAAACATTGAATAGCCGCTGCAATAAAAGAACGATAATTAAAACTTCTCTTTCGTTCGTAAGGGGAGCCTTGAAGCAATGATAAAGTTATATTTGTGTGACCTATAGGTCACGGGTTTAAAAGAACGATAATTAAAACTTCTTTTTCCTTCATAAGAAGAAGGGGAGCCTTGGAGCAATGATAAATTTGTCTTTGTGTGACCTATAGCTCACGGGTTTAAAAGAACGATAATTAAAACTTCTCTTTCGTTCATAAGAAGAAGGGGAGCCTTGGAGCAATGTTAAAGTTGTCTTTGTGTGACATATAGGTCACGGGTTCGAGTAGTGGAAGCAGTCACTAATGCTTGCATTTTGGGTAGGTAAAGTTGCCTCAGTGTGATCTCGGGTTCAAGTCGTGAAATCAGTCAGTAATACTTGCATTAGGGTACATTACATGACTTAGGGTGCGACCTTTCACCGAACTCTGTGTGAACGTGAAACGCCTTACACCCGAAAGCGAGAAATTTCAAGATATGACAAAGCAAGAATGCTTATTACAGTACTAAAACATTAGAAGTCAATAAAAACGCAGTAATATCATTCCTCTCGCAAAATTGAATAGCTGCGCCAAAATCAATGTCTAATTTATACTGTACACTTCGGATTTGAGAGTCAAACTTTGATTATGAATTCAAAAATAGACTCTTTAAATTTTTTGAAATAGAATATACATAATATTTGAAAACTACGTTAAAAATACTACTATAAGTCACAATAATTAGCAATTTAAAATATTTTAAAGGCATATGAAAGAATCGATATAAAAAAAAAACTCTTTTGACTTTTGGAATACGTACACCAACACATAAATTGGGATGAAGGGAGTAATAAATTTTCCTTCTAGCTCAATAAAAGACGAGAAATTTCCTGAAAACGCAAATTGTGAAAATATGATTATAAGCAAACAATTCTCAACCATACCTCTTTTATTCTTAGCTTTTGTAAACTCTTTGGCCTTTTCAACCTCCACAGAAACCTTCTTCAGAAATACTTTCTCCTTCTTCTCGAGATTCTCTAAATGCTAGACAATCAAGAGAAACGAAAGTTTCAAATACATGCATTGTCTTAGAAGTGATGATTTCTTTAACGGACTAATTTAGTGATGATTTCTTTAACGGACTAATTTTTCAATCATTACTTTAATATTATCAAAAGGCAGCATGATGCAGAAAGTATTTTGCATTCACGTGGGTTCAGGGAAGGACTGCACGCGGCGTGCAATGTTAGACAATCTACCCTAATACAATCATTAGTGATTGCTTTCAGGCTCGAACCCGTGACATATAGATCATACATAGACAACTAGTGACCAACATTACTTTAATATTATCATCCACTATTATTAATGCGATATATAAGTTAAGTTAACATCTTAAAATCCGTAATCCTTAATTTGAATGCTATTCCGTGTTAGAGATTTCCCCTTGCACTCCGCTTCGAACATTCACTAGGATCTATTAGTCACATTTTGATGCTCCAATCATTAACCATCTATTTTGTATTATTCTCGACAAATAAGGCGCTTAGTCAATTATTGTCATATAAAATGGGACAGAAGAAGCATCATTTAAGAAACACTTTCAATAATTCAACATATCAAACTTAAAACAAACCAAATAAAAATGTCAAATTAGCAACTGTTATAATTTAGAATAAATGGCTAAATTGCATAGGAATTTCAAACACAGCACTATCAATTACATGATGATCTGTACCTCATTTAACTTTTCAAGAGTTGCAAGAATATTTGGTTCCTCCTTGGGTTTCCCAAGTAACCTAAACATCTTCCCAAATACAATTCAATAGTAACCCTTCTTTATTCCTGTGTCGAAACCAACAAAAAAGGTAAACAAACTTTTATGAATAAAACATCCAAGAAAAAAGATTTTCCAATCGAAAACAAAATTTCAGAGATAGCATAAACCGAGTATATATACATATATATCTCTAAATATTACACATGCAAAATTTTCTTTTCTATATGCACAAGCAATAACATTATTATTTTTTCAGTATTCAACCAGAGTTTGGAATCTACTCCTAAATATATACTACATATGCAAAATTATATATATTTTTTCAATGCAAGATTTTCTTTTCAACATGCACAAGATTCAACATGCACACCTTGATGGACAGAATTATTCCATATTATTTGTGCGAAATTAGAGGCGAAGTCAGGATTTGAAACTTATGAGTACGAAATTTTAAGACTCTTAAGTTACATGGTTATAAATTAATAATTTATACATATTCAATAAAATTCTTAAGATGAATACATGATTTGACCAAAGCTACTGGGTTCGGCCGAACCAATACCTTCTACTCTCCCTCCGCCCCTGGGCTAGATAGCAGTTACCAGTGGAATTAGTCTAGGTATACGTAAGTTGACTCAGTGTAATTAATCTAGGTGCACGCAAGTTGATTGTAAAATAAAAAACAAAAAAGAGAAAGAAATTCAAAATGCACACGTACTTAGAAAGAGGAAGTTAACCAACCTGCTTTATGCCAATTCCTTTATGCCTATCGATCGCTCTAAGTTTGAATTACGCCTTATGATTTACAATGGGAAAATAAAAGACTGGAGAAAGAATAACGTAGAACTAATTCGGAATTAAGCGAGAAAGCTAGAGGACGGCAACCCTAAAACTTTCTTACGTTGCGTTATTATAACTTTATTTCCTTTTTCTATGTTCTTATTGATTAAGAATAGATTCCTAAGTAGGCTTTAATTTGTTCTCTATGATATTTAAGTTAACTGAGTTGGGTGTAAACATTAGACTAATCCTTTCATATTATCCCTTAGTATTTAGAGTGTCAACAACTTTTTATTTGAGTATATTTTTATTAGAATTTATATTTTAAAAATTTGTCACTTCAATTTTTGAATATAAGAATATCATTTAAACTTTATTTAAAAACAATTAATGAATAAATTCATACTAAGATGTTTTATCATGCTATTAACCGCTTAAAGATATAGTATAATATATAATCTATGTATAACCATATATAATCAGTGTCTACTTTATATATATTTGTAGACAATAAATTTACGTCGAGAAAATAAAATCAAGACCGAAAATATTGCAACAATCGTAGTGTTTGATTTTAAATATTTGAGTTCAAATATTTGAATGTTACATTCTCTATGGTTCCTCTGGTTCTACTTTTTCAATATAAATTCAAGGGCCACTACAACATTATGTATCTATAGCTACGAAATCTTAGCTACGAATTTAAAAATTATAGCTAATACCTAATAATAGCCACAAAAATTAAAATTCTATGGCTATTTGCAAAACTATAAAATTTCTTTGCCACAAAAATTAAGTTGGTAAAGCTAATTCCTCATATTAGCTATAATTGCTAACAATCGTGGCAATAACTACCTAAATAGCTATAAATAAAGTTTGGTAGCTAATCATAAGTTTTTGCCACGCATCAATAGTACTGTAGTAATAGTTACCTTTTAGCCACAATAAATTATTTGAAACAAAACATTGTAGCTAAATGAATATTTTTGCTTCAAGTTCTAAAAAGTTATGGCAATAGTTAAATGATATAGCCACAGATTTATTGCTATAACTGACTTATGTAGCTAATCACTAGTTTTTTTGCCACGAGTTAAAATTTACTATAGCTATAGTAACTTTTTAGTCATAATAGAATATTTAAAAGAAAATATTGTAGGTAAATGAATACTTTTGCTTCAAGTTATAAAAAGTTGTGGCAGTATAAGTTAAATTACCACATATTTCTTGCTTTAATAGAATTTCGTAGCTAATTATTAATTTTTGCCACGAGTTAAAACTTAATATAAACAATAACCTTTTAGTCACAATAAACTATTTAAATCAAAATGTTACTAAATAAATAATTTTGCTTCAAGTTCTAAAAAGCCATGGCAATAGTTATCACGATAAAAAGATATAACCACAAATTTATTGCTACGATAAATTTTGTAACTAATCATTAGTTTATGACACAAGGTAAATTTCCTCTAACAGTAGCAATCTTCTAGCCACATTAAAAATTTGAAACAAAATTTGTAGTCAAAAAAATATTTATCTTCTTATTTTAAGAAAATAAAAATAGTTAGATAATAGTTACAATATTTTTCATGACAAAATTAATAGACACAAATTTAAAGTGACGATAAATATACGAGTTAACTATAACTTTAGTCGTACAGTTAGGATTGTCATTTCAATAATAGTATTTTAACCACAATAAGTTATATGTACAAAATTTCATAAGTGAATAACTTTATTTCAATGACAAAAATAAGAGTTGCTCAAACAATATCAAGTTACAAAAATTTAATTTTAACTATAAAAGTTATATTTTTCCAAAATAACATAAAATATAGTAATTATATATAGATTGAAGTATTAATAAACTTTAAATATGCAAAAGTTAATTTTAATAGACCATTTATATGCCTACTTGTAGTCTCTAAACTTATCAATTTACTTTATTTATCAAGCTCATAATTTATTTTATTGCACCTTGTTATTTTTGGATGTTAATTATATATATATTTGGTGTAAAAATTCAAAATATATTAATATTTGTGGAGAATTTATGTATGTCTAGTACTTAACTATTTTTTTTTTTTATATAAGTAATTAGAGTAATTTCTTATATTTAAGTATTTATTTTAAATAGGTCCTCATATATTGAGGACTTTAAGAGTTTTTAATAAGTACTTAGAATAATTTTGTATAACTAATGATTCATTTTTAAATAAATTCTCATATATTGAATAACTTTGTGATGGTTTTGGTGTATTTAGTTTTGATAAATGACCAAAGCTCCAAATACATATGAACATATTTAACACTACAAAATTTTTTACGACATTATAATTCATATTAATATTTATATAATTGTGTTATAACTATTTAAAATAATTACGAAATTAATTGATACTTAAGTCCGAAAAACTAATTATATTATAATTCTTATTAAATATAATGGAATTATAGCTAATTAATGCCTGGATGACTAATTTTATAGAATTTAAAAATTATAATCTTGCACCAATTACATTGTACAATATATATATATATATATATATATATATATATATATATATATATGTGTGTGTGTGTGTGT